ATCTGATTCTCGCCCTGTGGTGGAATTTTTGAATTGAATCAGTTCGATTTTAAATCTGTTCGATTTTGAAAACGTTCGAATTCGTCGTACCGCCGAGAACCAACACAAAACAAGGTAACAGAAAACAACGACGACATGAAATCTGACAGACATCTGACAACGACAGTCAAAGGCAGTACGGAAAAAAGTGGAAACAGCAATTACGAGTAACCACGGAAAGTCACGAAAAACGGTATGAACGATAGTATGTCGAGAAGCCGAACTCAGAAGACTACCGCGAGAACCGAAAGAGAACCCCAGAGACGACGACGAATTCAAACCGAGAGAACACCCGATAAAGACAACCGAGAAGAAAATCGCACACACAAAAAAGAACAAAAAAGCAATAAAGTTCACGAAGTTCACTAATCCAGGCAGAGAAGACATCCCATTCTTTGATCCGTGTCATCTCACTGAAAACTTCTTCATAATTTTTAGCAAAAGTTTTTTACCTTATCGAATATTTTCAGAATGTGTCGAAATCGGTCCCTCGTAGACAGCTCCTTTCCTCAAAATCAGTAGAGTCTCGACGAAGCTATTTTTGAGAGCCCTAAATTGATCCTTGAGCCAAAATATTTAATTTTATTTAATAGAGTGATTTCTAGCATATAATCAAACGTTCATGATTACAGATTTTTATTCTGGATATCGGAAATTGATTTTTTTTTTGAGAAATTTTTTCCTGAATTTTCCAAAATTTTATCAAAGCTGATTTTTGGAAAGCTAGAAAATAAGAGGTACCCGATTTTCCTATACCTAGAAAGAACAATTTCCCCACCTTTCAACCAATTCCCTGACAATTGGCATCGATATCTCATGATCCTTTCCTTGACTTCCATTTGCTATGCCATAGATCTCGATCCAAATCTTTCCAATCCTGGGAACTGTCCTTGAAACAGTCTAACATCGCAGGTGCTACCCGATACCAGGAAGATCCTGAACTTGAACGTTTCAAATAAAAGTACTGATTTTTTGCTATTCTTCTCCATCTTAGAATTTTTTCTAGTAGGACTTCACGGAGGTTAATCAAAAAGTGTTAAAGGAACTCGTTGAACATTTTGATCCCAGGGGCCGTATTCATGAACATTTACTTTTGTAAATCATTTACTCTCAAAAATCAACTGAAAAACGTGAAAATTTAAGAGAAATCATTTACTTTTTGGTAAACCAGTCGATTTCCGCCGCCTATCGGCGGCTACAATCTTCTGGCTTCACTTTAAAAATTTGAATCTCCAAATCGGAGAGAATCAGAAGACGAAGTTTTAGTTGATTGTATTGTCAACTTTCATAAACTGGAGTGACAGTCTGCTAATGCGCCTTCGGGGCTCAACCTTCTGGCTCACGCTTACAACGCCCTTAACCGATTGAGTTTTGGCTTGGACAGATAAATCAGAAATGTGTCTTAGTTGATACCCGAACTGTTCGAAATTTCCAAATTTTTAGAACTAATAATGTTTCTGAATTCCCGAATATCTTGGATATTGACAACTTATTTTTTCAGAAGTTTCGAAATCCAGAAGTTCTGAATCTTCAGAACTGCGATTCTAGAACCTAAAGATTTCTCTATTAAAATACTTCATTTCAGAACTCATAATTTTAGAACTTTTGTATTTTCGAGTTTTCATATTTCCGACTTTCTGAGATTGTACTTCACAAATTCCCAAACTTTAAAATTTTAACACGAATCAGATTTTCAGAATTTTCTCTACAAATTTTCGAGTGCTCAAACTTTCAAACTTCTAAATTTCGTAAGTTCCGAATATCTGAATTTTTATACTTCTGAGTTTTTTTAAACATTGGACATTTTAATTTTTTGATTTTCAAACTTCAAAATATCCGGAGCTTCAAATTTCGGTATTTACGAGCTTCCGTCTTTCCAATTTTCCGAATTTCTGAATTGGAATTTTAAAATTTCAGAGTAAAACCAAAATGTTTGAAGCATAGGAATGGTTAGAAATTTCGCATTTTCAAAAAACTAAATAATAAACTTTCGTGAATTAGAATCTCCGAAATTCAGTTTTTGAGAAGTTAGGTGATTCAGAAAGTCAGAATTTTTAAGGTTACTAAACTTTTTCTTTCTATCTCCTTTCAAAACTAAGACTAAATAATTATTTCCCCAAAATCACCTTTTTGTCAGATATAACGTGGATAAGAAAAAAAGAGGGGGTTGCGCGGGAATGACGTAAATATTATTTTTGAAAGATTTGCACTGTAGAAATAGAAGAACGTCTCCAGAAGACGTCACAAACAAAATTTCGAAATTAAAAAAAATGGGCATCATCTCGCTGCTATTTCGGATCATCTGTGAAAATTTGAAAATTTTTGGTCTACTGGGGACTTCGCTAAGGTCGTGGAACCGGGAACACCGGATATTTTTTACGTAATAAATACAATACAATACGACACACACACAGACAGAATTTGGTGATTGTTAATAGTAAAGATACCCCTCTTTTTGGTAAATAGGGGCACTAATTTCGTTTGCTGTTTACAACCGCTTCTTGAAACTTTTCATTCCAAAAAAGTTATGTATGGAAAGAATAGTATTGTAACATCGATATTATCTAACTTTAAACAGATATTTAGTTTCGGTTCAACTCGAAAATTATGACTTTTGATACAAATGACATCAATGAATTCAAAGTAATGTGTCAAAAAATGAACATTTTTCAGTTTAAAGTAGTTGAGAAATTCTAGTTCAAAGTCGTTTTCCTATCTAAAAAACAGAAAACTATTTACAAATGAGAAAAATATTTTCAGTACATTTTCACGCTTCCATTTACCTTTTGGTAAATGATTCAGTTGATTTTTTGAGAGTAAATGATTTACAAAAGTAAATTTCATGAATACGGCCCCAGAAGACAGTCAAAAACTACAGTAATCTAACGTAAATCTCCCATATCAAAATGATCCCCAGAAAATTCTGCACAAATGTTACCTAATTAAAAAAATATACGATCGATGGTATTCGAACAGGTCAGCAAAAACCTCGAGAAATTCAATTTTTCAGTTGATTTTCTAAGAAATGTATCTCCTCATTCATTTCTCAACCAAATCGGACGTTTTTAGGCTCATTTTGTGTGTTTTCCTCGCCTTCTTAATTGTTACCTATTTTGAAATCGAAAATTTCGACCTAGAATTTCTAAATGCCGAAAAAGCTAATTTTCCACTGTATCGAGAAAAGCGCCAAGAAATCAGAGAAAATCAAATTTCGGAAATTATTCACCGTGTATTTTGGTTTTTTTTTCGTTTTATTACAAAAAAATCAGAATTTCCGCGCGTGCTGACAACTTTCATGAACTCTTTTCTTATCTTATCTCTAGATCTGATCTATAAGGGCTATATAAGCTGGAGAAGTCAACCAGAAGTCGGACCGAGGAGTCGATGAGGAGTCCGAGTTGTAACGTGGTTCCAGGGATGCTGGGATGGCAAGGAATCCGATCCGATCCTACAACGACAACTTGCCTCCCTACTTCGAAGCTCGACGAGGATCACCAGGATCGGCAAGGAGGACAACATTGTGTGCTGGATGCTGGAAGGAGAATTCTACTTACTGCCAGGAAGCTTCAGATGCGCTACTCATTGCTATTTCTTTTCTTTGAAGACTGATCGACGTCATTGAAGTAAAAAAAGTACTAAAAGGCCTCAGGTCGCCATTGTTTGGGGTTCATGGCTAGGTGTTTATCACTGAACGTCCCCCTTTTACCAAATGACCGAAATCAAAATTTAAAAGAAAATGAAATAGCAAAAGATCTCGTACGCTGAGCTTTCTGGCAGTAGAGAAGAACCTACTTGGGCATACCGACTTCGGACTTCAAACTTCCGGCTTCTGAGTTCAAAACATTTACTTCTTTACTACAGGAATCTTCAAATCTTCTTTTAGGAGTAGACAAAAAATCGTAGCAATCCATTCAGTCGTTCTCGCGTACCAGGTGACAGCTGAACCCTAGGAATTTCGAACATTTCGCAAGAAACCTTTGAACGTTTACAATTTTTGAGTAAATCAACTCCTATTTTTTTCTCGATATAGCTATCAAAGTTGTGCATCGAGTGGTCGTGGCGGATTTTTGATTTAGGGCCTGCTTCAGCTATTATCTTGTTGTACAAACCCTTCCGAACCAATTTTGTTTTCCCATAGGCATTGATCCTTCTTCACATTATCTCCTTCAAATGCAAACTGCTCCTTCACCTAGTCAAATTTAAGACACAGTTCCAATATTGTCAATACCACCTGCTAACTACAAGACGTCCAGGTGTGCCTCCCATAAGCCCCGCCCACCAACTCATCCCCAGAACCATCATCTCATTTAGTTCATTCATACTTGAATATCAGTCAACCGACTACTCTCATTCTCTATCGTCTTACTCTCTGTTCAACATGCCATCCAGTACCTCATCTTCTTCTACCAAGTCAATCATCAAATCCCGTGGAATCAAGAAGATTGAGAAGAGACTCACTGCTACTCAATACGTCAGAAAGTATACAGAAATGCTGGTGCTTGGAGTCAGAAGAACATATGCTCTCGAACGACTGGTCGATGCTGAATGTCCGATTCGCGCCTTCGAAGAAAACCTCACGGAGAAGGTTCTGGAGAAACACATCGCTCCATTGGGTATGTACACCTTCCATCTCAACAAATTGGCTCAGAAATTCGATAAAATCAGAAGGAAGGACCTGATCAACGCTCAACGGAAAGTGGCAGAATCGAGAGAATGCAATGCATACATCGAAAATCAAAAAATGATTCTGGAACAGAAAACTCAAGCAGAAGTCAACGAATTGTTTGCTGCTGCCATGGGATCTACTTGTGCTCCAAAGAAGACGTCAATAAAGCCGGATTACTCCAAATACCGTATCGTCAAGAGATCCAAGACTTCAACCTCTTCAACTCCAACATCATCATCTTCTTCATTGTTTTCTTCTCCAACGTCGCAATGATACAATTTACATTTTTCTTCATACAAGTTTCCCTTTTTATATCCTATCTCTCTTTCTAATTTTGATTTCCGTTTATGTTTTACTTCTTATTATCCACTACAATAAATTTTGATTTGTTTTACACAACTTGTTATGCTTGAAAAATTGAACAAAAGAAGTGAAACCCGGGTTGTAACTGTACCTTAAATTTCAGCAGTTAGCATGTGAAGGAGATAATGTAAAGAAGGATCAATGCCTTATGGGAAAAAAAGTTGATTCGGAAGTTGAGACGAATCCAGAAGGTTTGTACAACACATTTATCTGAAAGGTTTACATACATTTGAAAATACTAGGCTTATCTCTAACATTGTAAGTTTTAGATTTTCGTGTTATTTCTAAATGTTCCAGAAATAGATGAATTTGCAGTTTCCAAGTCTCTAGAGAAAGAGAATGTGTTACAATCTGTACCCTGGGATACGGAACTCGATAAAAGACCATAGTGCATTCATCCTGCATCAGAAGAAACACATATTTTTGATTTATCTCACAATCATAGTGTACAAAAAGAAGAGTTTCAGGTACAAAATAATATGATACCTCAGCTCTAGCCGATGTTTATTTCTGATGAAATTGAGACAATACAAGTGATAGCGTCGGATTTTCATATGAGAAATTAGTTTATTATCTAACATCGGACTAGAATTGAGTGTTCAACAAGGCAATAAATAAGAGAAGGGAGGAGAAAGAAAAAAGAGTTTGAATCACTGCTCAAAACAGACGACCTCAAACTTTCTTTGTTGAATTTTCCGTGTCTTTGAATACGAATCGTTTTCCTGAAAAAGTTTTTTTTAAATTTTTGTTAGAATGAAAAATTATCTACCGTCTGTCATCGGAGGTTTCGAGCATAGAACTGATCGTTGGTTCTTATTACAATCAACACTGACAAATCGATATTGACTACGGCAATCTTCGTGAATTTCATTTCCAGTGAACACTGTACACTTCTTTTCTCTCGGCATCTTCTCAGTCCATGGATCGAAATGCAATCCTGTGTTTCCATCCTCCCATCCGAAATCTTTTTCGTACTTCACATAACCAATCCACGTCTGTTCATCAACTGTGTAGTTCTTTTCTGTCTGCACAAGTGCTGACACAAATCTCGCTTCTCCTTCGTTTTGCACTGATGCCACGTACGAGTTCTGGAGCTTACATACCTCACGGGATTCTGTGAACTTCTTGGCTTCATCAATTCGCTGGAAAACTATTTTGAAAACAGAGAAAACACATAAAGTTTCTATCATTATCTTTCAATCTGTCGGGTGCATAAAATATTATTTTCTAGCTGATTTCCTTTCAAAACTTCCAAGTTCCGATTGTCCGTCAACAGTCCGCCGACGGCCCGTCGGTTCTTCTTCGACTGCCAACTAGCAGTCAATCACCAGTTTGCGCCTCTACAGCCGCCATTTAGCAGTTTTTCGGCAGTCTCCTTTTACCTATGAAAACTTACCTTGTAACATTTTCCGCTCATGGCAGTTCCATCATGAGAATAATAGCTCCATCCTTCTTCACATGTCGGTTTCGATTTGATTTTATCTGAAATTCAAAACCTTTGAAAAATCTGAGTGTCAGATATTGCCAAACCTTTTCCAAGTGTGACTTCACATAATACTGATTTCTGAGCCTCTTCACATGGAAAATCTCCAAATTTGTATTGCGTTCCCTTGTGTGGATAGTTGGGAAGTTCGTTTCCGGTAAACTTAAAAATTTTGGATTGCGGTAGTTTTGAAACGAGTGTTCTCACCACTGTGCAATCATTGATGTTTGGTGCTCCTGGAAGCCATCTCGTGAAATCCATGGCAGTCTCATCTTCGTAAACATAGTATTTCTGATGAATACGATTCAAACCGATCCATGTTTGATCCGAAAGCGCATCAGGTCCTTTATTGTGAAGCAACGCTAAAATAGAAGTTTGTTATTTTTCTAAATATGATTCCTAAATTCTACCAGAAAGAAGAAGTAGCTGTCTCTCATTGTGAATCGATGCCAAATGACCGCTCTTGCTCACACAGAACAGACGGGCATCTTCAAAATTCATTGATTTCTCGAATCTCTTGAAACAAAGAGCTGGAGCAGTGGAATTTGTATTGAACTGAGTCCATTCGGCAGGACAACCAGGAAGGGTTTCAGATGGGATTGCAGCAATTGCAAGAGCACTTTCTGGATTGACAGTGGTTAGAAGAGTGGAAAGATTTGGTTGATGGGTTGTAGTTCTCTGATTGGCCAGTGCTGCATTCAGAGATTCATCGATATCTGGCTCTTCTGTCGTTGTGAGTGGATTCTTTTTTGGCTGCTTTGGGGCTTCTGGTTTCTTGTTTCCATGCCCAAGTATTGTTGCGGCAGAAGCAAGATCAGCTTCTTCTACACTCTCCTCTTCATTTTCCGATTTACTTTGTGATTCTGAAGCAGCTGCCATTGCCATCTTCGCACTATCTTGTGCTTTTTGTTCCATACTCAATGAAGCAATGTCTTCACTCTCATCCTGAGAACTACTTTTCTTTGAATTCTTGTTGCTTGCTTTCATAGACGCTGCCATCGACAGAGCTGCCTGCTCACTAGTTTGATCCAAACTAGACTCTGACATTGAATCTTCACTTGAACTTGCACTTTCCTTTTTGCTCGAACTCTGCTGCGTCATTGCCAATTGATCAGCAAGAGTTATCGATAAACTCATGGACTCTTCATCAGTTTGTGAATCAAAAGTAGACGTATTCGTAGTTCTTGAGTCTGCCCAATTCAAATTGATCGTTTTTCCTTCGATGAGACTTGCAGCAGCTGAGAGAAGATCTGCTTCCGTGTACTTGTCGTAGTCTTCTGATTGAGCAGCCATCTCTTGAGACTTCATTGCAATTGCAATCTTTCCGATGTCTTTTCTCATTGCAATTTCCGCAGAATCGTAGGTTTCATCCTCGGATTCATCACTGGACGAGGTCTTCGAGGAAGCTGACATCGATGCAGACATTGCATCACTTCCATTCAGAGATTGTTGAGCAGACATGCTGGCTTCTTCTTCATCACTGGATTCATCCTTCTTACTAGACGATTTCTTATCCGAAACAGCCATTGCTAAGGATTTATTCTTTTCATCTGAAAGAGCTGCATTCATCGACTCATTGATCTCCTCTTCATCCTTTTTTGACTCCTTCTTCTTATCCAAACTCTCTTCCTTCTTTTTCCTCTCATCGGCCAAAGCAGCATTCAAACTCTCATCAATGTCATCTTCTGAAATTTTCTTAAACTGTTTCAGCTTTTCATCATTTCTGTCAAACCTTTTGGCTTCTCGGCCTTGACTCTTTTCTTTGCCGGAGCTCTCATGGCGTGAACTGGTGCTGGCGCTGAAAAATCATCTAATCAACCTAAATTCTCTATTTCATTAATTACCATCTTTAGATTTTCCCTGAAATGTACACACAAATGGAAGTTTGTGTCCGACTGGTATTGTATGCCACAGTCCTCCAAGTGACATCTTATCAATGGCAACTCCATAATATCTTGAATCAGGAGCCCACATCTCATTGAACTCAATCTCTCCACCATTCTCCCATCCAATATTACACTTTAAATTCGAAGCACCAACCCAAAACTGGGTTCCATTGGTAACTTCCAAATCAGCATTGGCTGAAGAATAAGAAATGAGTTAGGTGTAAAAAAACTAGGTCAGTACCAGAGTATAAAGATGAGTCGTCCTTATTAATCTTATCGGCTAATTGGCCTCCAAGAGATACACAATGTCGTCTTGCAGCTTGGTAACTTTTTGGGGTGTTGTAAAGTTTAAAGCACGCATTCAGACTAAAATGAAATTGAAAATTACCAAATCAAATGAATCAAATGAAAGAATAAGAGATTGAAAAAAAAATTACCTGGTAGCTGCTAGAGGGTTAACAGATCCTATTTTACAATCGTAAGGATCTGAATGATTGTCAGTGAGAATTAGAATTGGTTGGAACAAAAGTAAGAACCATATCGTGGTCCGTCTCTGCATTGTCATTATGCAAAGCCCACTTTGTTTCGTGGCAGTGGCGCGATATGAAATATGTGTTGCTGAAAGAGGGTTGTGCAGAAGATGGTTGTCCGTATCAGGTTTTATCGTTCATCCATACAGTAGGCGTCCATAAAAATGAGCGTTTTTTATTATAGAGGGGTAAGGCATGCAGCACGGTGAAAGTGGAGAAGCGAAGCTAACCGATTAAACCCGCCACCCCGTTTTTCAGCTGCATTTTTTGTAGGCGATTTTATCGGAACGTTATGTAAATGTTCTCGAACGCTAATATACAAAGTTAGCGCTGGTCTCGACAAGAAAGCTTCAAACTGAGCTACCGAGTCTTACGGTTTTTTGCCTGCGGACTCTTTTGAAAATTAAGAAATTTTCAAAAAGAAGGGAATAAAGAAACCACGACGAAGACAATGGATAGGAACTGTTCAAAAAAATTTTCATATCCCTGAAATCAAATGAATTGACGTCCATCTTGTTCTAACGCATTTTTGCTGAACCCTTTGCTTCTTGCAATATCAAAATCAAACATCAATAAAATCCGATGAACATCCGGTACAAAACAATATTTTAATTTCCTCAAAAATCTATCGATCTGAAACTTGGTATTGGTACACATCCAGTTTAGTCCCATGACATCAAAGTTTAAACTATCAAACTCTGCTAATACTTTTTTTTCTCATCTGGAAGAACTCCTGACAACTTTTTGCAAAATATCAAAAACATAAAATGACTAACGAATGATTTGCAAAAAAACCGAGGGGTTTTAGTTTTCCGCAGAAAACTGTTCGTTTTGGTTGAACACCACTCTTTCAGGGGGCAGCATTTGAAAAGGAAACAGAATATTATTATGGTATCAGAAAATCGGAAATGTGGTCCCAGAACGACAACTAAAGTAACCTTAAAATGTGTTTATTTTCAGGACCCGATCTTTAAATTCGTAACTACTGATCATTAGTCATTTTTGCCAGACGTTTTTCCACCCAAATTGTATTCTTGCCTGCTCCTCCAAACCAACAAAAACAAGATCCTAGTCGAAGGAAATAAAATTTGAAAAAGACATGAGCATTTTTAAGAGGTATTATCCGTTAAAGTATTTATTCACAATGAAGATCAAAAATAAATCAAGCCATTTAGGATCATGGGTTATTTGTATTCAGTTTTCTTCAGATGGGGTCTCTTCATGTTGCTTCAAGACACTATTTAGAAGACTCGCAGTCTGTTTGTGGTTCTGGAAATTGAAACACTTTTTAGAAAACTGATTTCTATCACTTACATCACTGCACTTCATTCCAGATGCCTCAAGTTGTTTGTAGATTTTAACCGCTGTTGATGCAGCCGCAAAGTTCTTTGTGCGATATTCGAAGATTGCATAATTGAGCACCTGAAAAAAAAGTAATTCGTCTAATAGAGTGTTACACAAACCGTCTTATTTGAGCCAAATTATCTCGATTCCTGTGGAAAATAACAAAAATTTGTCAACTTACAAAATATTACTGATATTAGGATATTATGGATTAAAGGATCACTTTTTGATATTTTTCAAACTGAGATAATTAGGCCGCTGAAAGTTGACGGTTTGGGTGAGCTCCTATTAGAGGAAATACGGTAAGTGCAAGAAAAACAACAAAGTTCTTACAATAGATGGAGATGGTTGTAACTCAATTGACTTCTTGTAAGCTGCTCTTGCATTTTTGACATCGTTCATATGCGACATTATCACTGCCATTGCACCAACTGCCTTTGCATTATTCGGTTTCAGTTCAGTACATAATTTAATGTAATGAAGAGCCGAGCAATGTAATTTCATGATATCATGGAGAACTCCTAAATTTAAACTGATTCTAAAAAGAATAAAAAATGGACACTTTATGGTAAAATGTGTACTTACTTATAATCTAGAGGACTTATGAAAGAAGCTTTTTTGAGTGCCGAATGAGCAGCAGCAGATTTGTTTCTTGCCAGAAGACCTATTCCAATATTATTCCAGAGACATCCATTATAATCGCAAGCATCTGCGGCCACTCTAAATTGGTTTTCCGTCAGAAAAACCTTTCTAATAGTTCAAAAAGCCTGTATTTATTCAATGCCACATCATGATCATAGTGTTGCTACATAATGGATCCGAGTGTCAGAATTGCTTGACTATTCGATGGATCATAAGCCAAACAGTTACCAAGTTGTTCGAAACCTTCTTTCTCTTTTCCCATTCTCAACAAAACCAATGCCAAACGAATCATCACATCTGTATTATCAGGTTGCAGTTTCATTGCTGATTCGTATGCTGCAATCGCTCCCTCTGTATCCTGAAGTTCTTCACAGAGACGTCCAAGGAAAGTAATCAATTCCGCATCTTTAGCAACAGTTGATCTGAAAACTTATAAAAATAAATATCGTAAAACCTGCAATAGAAGGGCTCCTTAGCCTTTAATATCGAAAATCTGTCAACTGATAAAATATATGCTAATGTCTAGATAAATGATTTATCAATTAAACATATTTGATATCTATTATAGGAATTGAGATAATTGAGCTCAAACTTGACAGTGTGGTGCATTTCTATTACGGTTCAAATGTAAAATTTAGGTTCATACCCCATAAGAAGGTTTCTCGCTGTTTCAGTCGGATTGAAAGTCTTCCCTGGAATTTTTTCTAACGGCAAATGGTAAATGGCTCTGGCCATCCAATACCAAACCTTCGGATTATCTTTCATCACCTCACTGGCTTTTCGGAGTAGTTCAACAGCGATTTGATTACGTCCAAGAAGAAAGTTACATCTTCTAGTTTCATAAAAGTATCTGTAATATGATAAAAGTTGTCGAACAGTGCAAAACATCTCAAACTTTTTATTCTTTCCAGAAAGCTGGTACGCTTTCTCAAAACAATCCATAGCTTCTTCCAGTTCTCCTTCATTTCTAGCAATCAATCCACGAACATGAAATGCTGCTTCATTTTTCTCCTTATATTTACTTTGAATCTCTCCAATCAATGATTTACATTCAATATAATCTCCTTGTGCAAAATAATGATACATTAGACCATTTAAAGAATTACAATCGAGAATTTCGACCCGTTTTGGGGGTGGTCTATCTGGAACTGGTTCAACGTCCACTCCATTCGTTTCCACTCCATGTCGCTGGAATTTCATGATACAAACCAAAATCTTCACATTTTACTCTATATTTTCATCACAGACTAAAAACTTACATCACCATCCTCTCCGTTGTGAACAGTAACAACTCCGATGATCTCGTCTTGGTTGCTCTCCTCCATGCTTTTCAAATATCGAATTTTTCTCGTTTCATGTCTTTCCCCTCTCTCAACGTTACTAACCCAAACATGCTAACCCTCGCAGCCACAAGAAAAGGAAAATTTGACAGAGAAAGGTATTTTATTCTATTTTTCAGAAGGAGAATAACAATGTAAAAAGTGCAAGCAGAATGAGTAAAAATGTGTTAGATCATGTCTTGATTCATGAGGTTGCTGCCAGGTTGGCGAACTTCTCGAAATTCTCGACATATGGTGCCAACAATCCATGCTTGTAGGCCAGGAACTTCCGGTTCTTCGAATCTTCGTTCTCATCGGCTTCTCGATCAGCTTGAAGACTGGCTAGTTCCTCGACGACGCGGCTAAAAACTCATGTTTTTTTCCAAGCATAAGAGTAGAACTTACTCAATACGAGGACATTTGCTAACATCGAACTCTGCGATTTTATCAACGTTCAATGGCACAGCAACATTTCCAGTTTTCGGATGAATACAAAATGGGGACTTGAGCAAGTGATTTGTTCCTTTAAATATTGATAAAGAGTCAATTTGAAAAACAATTTGTTCTTACCCGTAGACACATTCACATCAAGGCGAGGATAGCATTTTTGAAGAACGAAAGTATGAAGAGCGAATCGATCTCTTCCTTGGGGATGCTGAAAACTCACCATATTTTGAGTTGACAACAATCTATCACTCACATAATCTTTGAATTCATTTTCCGAACCAAGCTTCCTACGATAATCTTCATCAAACATGGCACGAAGAGCGTGCCATCTCTTTTCAGGGGTGTCGTACCCTTCAAGATTTTCAATCAGTTCCTTCTTTCCTTTGTCTGTTAACAAAAGCTCGTCTTTCAGGAAATCGTCGTTTTCTAACCATCCTTGTTCTAAAACCATTTCTCCGAATGTTCCATCTTTCATCGCAATATTGTAAGCGTCACGAACAATTGGTGGTACTCGTGTGTTCTTCGCTTTGCCTTCAGTCGCCTCGAACTGACCGTTCTTCTGAAATTCATCAAAATATATTGAAATTCATTTTTTTATTATACCTTGAACAAATTCAATCGTGTTGCTACGGCAGACCGATGATTGTTGGTTAGCATTCGTGCTTTCTTGTCTCCGACCCAACAATGGACTCCTCTTCTTCCAGAGAACACCCACATTCGAGCATTGAAACCGAACATATCATCGAGAAGAAAATCAAGAATTTTCACAGCCAGAACCATAAACTTCCAACATTTCGGGCATACAGTAGCCTCTCTGAAACATGAAATATTTGCTGATCACACATCTCTTCTCAACTCACTTGCAACAGTTACGGATATTGTCGTAATCGGTCAAATCGATATCGAAAACAAGTTCTCTTTCGACAGCCTGATAATCTGTATGCCTTTTATTGTTGATTGGTTCATGATTATAAACCGCTCCGATATCCAATTTTTCTGGGTTAGTGCTCGTTAGTGCCTTGAAAAACGAGAGCTCATCATGATAACTTCGATATCTGATGTGAACGTCGTCGGCAAGAATGAAAGCAAATTCACGACGATTGAGATACTCTCCGAAACCTGAAAAATAAAATTTTTAACACAGTCAAAACGATATAAATGTTGAGAACATTTACCGAGTCCGTAACGAAGCCATTTGATGAATGGCTTGACTGGGAAGAAGTTTTTATAGTAGACGGGCAAGTCTTGAGTGAGTCTAATAGAGTTGTAAGACATTTCTGACCTGAATCTTTTGACAAAAAAAGAGAGAAAGGAGACTTGTTTGCCAAGATTATTTCAAAACCTTTTGAAAAAAGAGGTTTTGCCGCTTAAGTGCGATAGAGCGCACTGCCAAACCAGGAATTTTTTTCATTTTCGCGAGAGAATTGCATAAGTTTCTCGTCTGCCCGTGTTCATATCATAGCCGATAGTTACAAAATGTCACCTCTGACACAGGATGCATCAACCAGTGATCTTACAAAATACGTCTTCTTTAAGAAAACCTTGGTTTACAGGTACACAATCAGTGATATTTGAATTCACGAATCTGGATGATTTTCATGGAGTTCTCAATCTCTTGGAAACTCGGAAACATTATTTATATTCTGAAATCCGTTCATTTTACAACATATCAGATAAAAATGTGAGTACAGAGGGTTTAGAGGGAGTGACTACGCCATTTAAATTCCATCAATGTCGATTCCATTTTCAGGAAGTTCACATTGAAATTCTTGTCAAGAATCCCCCACAAAACATTGATTTCGGTTGGGAGCGACGTATGAAGCATCTTTTCCGATATATGCTTGATCTTGAAAAGCTTATGTGGAATTTATCAACACTTGGAGGAGCGTACTCAGCAATGGGTGATTTCGACACAGATTATGTGAGAATGTGGCCATTTTGAGAATCTCTTCTCATTTTTTTTTTCTAGGCTAAAACTGCGATGAAAATCACCACTCATCAAATTTCATTGGCGAAAAAGTATGGCGATCCCGTGATCCTTGCTCGTTGTTATCTGTACACAGCACTCGCTGAAGCACAGTTGGGAAATCTCATTCAAGCTGTACACATTGTTCGGTTCGTTGGTGGAATACTTTAACCATACAACAACCTCTTTTTCAGAGCTGTTCGACATTGGTCTAAACAAAATCCAAATACGGAAATCGTGCAGAGATGTTGTGAAGGCGTTTATCAAAAACTTCGAGCGATTCATATTTTTGGAACTGCTGATTCTAACAAGCTATAAATACAAATAAAGACAAGTTCATTCAAAAGTGATGAAGTTATAAATTTAGACATTGATATAGCACTCACAGAAAGGGGGAACAGCGAGTAAAAGAAAAAATAATGAGGGGACTGATGGGAGATTAGGATAGGTTTCGAAGGCACAAGCGACGATACAGCTGAATGTCAGTGGGCATGAGTGTGACACGCTTAGCGTGATTGCAAATCAGTACGGATCCTTCGAACATTTCAACCATGAATGCTTCTGCTGCTTCCTGTAGAGCCATCAAAGCATCCGCACGAATACGATAGTCTTGACTTTTGTAGGTTTGTTCTCGAATAATTTCATGAACAAGACGAACAAAAGGAGCCTAGAATAAAAATATTGATTGTGATAACACATGAGGTAAAAACCAACCTTCTGGATCAACATATCTGTCGACTTCTGATACTTTCGAATTTCAGCCAAGGCTTTCTGTCCAGGTCGAAACTTGCGGTTGTGTGTCTTCGTGACACGGCTTTTTCCGGAACGCATTCTCACTTGTGGAGGTTGAGATGTGCTTTGATGGCTTCTATGGTAAACGTTGGTATCATCACGTTGTGACTGTTGCATTGTCGATTGGTTGTAGCTGTATGATGGTTTGGGAGATCTGGAAAAAAAACACGGCATGAAAAAATGTGATTGACACAATACCTAGAACGATAACGTTGAATCGGCTGACTATTTTCCTCTTCCTCGTCGGATTCACGCTCTCTTTCGAACCGAGAACTTTGTGATTGTCGTTGAGAATAATGGTGCCGAGAATAATGATTCAGACTGGTGCTATCGCCACGATGCTGCAAATCAGTTCAAATTACTTTGGTTATTATGCTACAAACATGGCATTGAAACAATTAATTACCGTTATGTCTATATTCGATTCGTGGACTCTATCTCGAGGCTCCTCTCTTCTCCTGCTCTCTTCCAACGGTTTTCTGTTGCTGTGATTCTTAAGATTTCTCTTCTTATAGAATTCGTCGACTGCCAAATTATTTTTTCTTTGGTATTCAATTTTCTTTTGCGTGAAAATTTCAATTTTTAATTGCCGATATTCACATGGCTCATTCAACTCTTCCTCTTCTTCCCACTTGGCGATTTGATCTCTAAACGCATCGATTATTTCTTCCATGCGATCGGCACTAGAAAGAAAGGTGGACTCCGGTTGGTTTTTAATTCTGAAGTAAACTTGGAAATATTAAGAGAACACAGATTTTAACACTTACTTTCGGAGTTTTTTGCCGAATGCAATTACATCGGGATGAGTTTCTATTTCCTGCATCATCGTTCGTCGAGACGGTGGATCAAAAACTTCTTCAATGTGCGGGCCGCTGTCATGATGGTACATCCTTTGCATTGGAAAAGTTTTGATTCAGCGCAGATGCGTATTGAGAAGAATCGATAAAGGGTTCAAATTTTTGGTTCGCGGCAAGCGATTTTTCCGAAGTCTGCAAACACGGCGACGGTCATACGCGTCTGCCGCTGCATAACTGACGACAGTCCTTCTGACGAGACCAGTGATCTCACACAAGATGGGATTTTTGGGACCTTAAGTTGGCGAGTTGATTGACATAAATCAAATAGGTAATATACAAGATATTGTTTAAAAGAATCCCAATTGAAAGTAAGATCATGTGGATTGATGCAAACCGGGAAATAGTCGTTCCGTCATCTGATGAATTAAAAAACTGAAGGATTCTCAATTGTTATTGAAGAACATGTTATCCCTTTGGGCGCTATACTAGTTGGAAGGGGTCACTTTTTTTGCGATTTTTTCACTTTTTTCGACATAAAAATGATCGCTGATTATTTCTATGATGTTTTTAAGTTGTTAGGACACAAAAAATTTTCCATCAAAAAAAAAATTTTTTTCTGAAAAAAATTTTTTTTCCGAAAATTTCCAAAAAAATAGCTTTCAAAATATAATTCTCGGATTTTCTGAAACCATCAAAAATTTTTCAGCAGTTTTTTTTTCATTTTTTCAAACATTTCAATTTATTTTTTTCGTTTTCACTTAGAATTTCTTCTGAATTTGCAGATTTCTATCCTGGAAGCCTAAGCCTATTTCAGTAATGGCAATAGTTTTAACGAAGGAGCTGCGAATTTGTCCTCAATGTTCTAGGCTTAGGTAAAAATGGTAAAAGCTAAAAACAGTATATTGCTCATTTCAAAGTTGTTGTTGTTGTTTACGTTTTAGTCGAGTTACATCTCCTAAAATAGTTGAACTAGTTCGTCAAAATGTCTGCTCAGGCTGCTCTTTTAAGCCTTAGAAGCTTCAATTTATTCTCTGGATGGCCCGAAGTGGCCTCGATGACCAAGGACGAGTTTGACGATTATCTCGCCGCAAGAGGTCTCTTCTGGAAAAATCGTCCTTGTCCAAACTGTCAGTTTTGTTGTTTTAAATAAATTGTTGGTGTTGAGTCTATTCAAAAAAATATTAATACTAAAAATGGTTCAAAAAATCCGAGAATTATATTTTGAGAACTATTTTTGAAAAAAAAATTTTTTGTGTCCTAACAACTTAAAAACATCATAGAAATAATCAGCGATCATTTTTATGTCGAAAAAAGTGATAAAATCGCGAAAAAAAGTGACCCCTTCCAACTAGTATAGCGCCTCCCTTTGAAAGTCTCTTTCAGCTTCCTCTATAAAGTTTCCTGTTTTCATTTTTTCCGTTTTCCAGGCCAGATTCCAAGCCAGATCCAGGCCAGAAATATGTAGATGAGAGAAATCAAGCATATATAAATACCGTATTCGGTCGGTCTAATATTTAGAAACCGATGTATCGTCAACATTGAGATGAGTTATCTCGATTTCTGTGAAAGATATGAAAACTCTGTCAACTGATAAAATAGTGGTGGTATTATGATAACTAATTTATCCGTTGACAAGCTTTTGATATCTTCCGCAGGAATCGATATAATTGAGCTCAAAGTTGACTGGGATGGAGATCTATTAGAGGGAATACGGTAGCTAACGATTAAACGTTCTAAACATTCTGAGAATGCATTCAGAATCAGCTTATTTCACAGGAGACGACAAATTCTTCCTTAATCGATTCGCCAAGTTGGATACGTATCGGGAGCTATAAAAACATTTCAACATAGAATTCAGTTACAAAACTTCTGCATCCTAATTTCTTAAAAACCGATTCTGTGAGAAGTAAGATTTATATTTTTGACAACACCCATCACTCTATTCATTTTTTCCAAAGACCGCAGATTGTTTATAAGATTCCTCATCAAGGTGTTCCGTGTTTTCATATATTTTTTCCTCTTATCTCCATTATCTCCTTATCATTAACACACAACAAGATCTTGCAGAAATATAAATAGGGTAAGAACACGAGAAGATGTTAAGACGATGAAAAAACATATACATAAGAATACTTTGTTACTTTTCTCAAAAAAAGTTGTTCGAAGGGCAGCATACCGTAAAACCTGTAATAGAAGGGGTAACATTTGAGCTAATTTATCCTGGCTCCTAGGCGAGATATCAAGAATTTGTCAAACAGTATAAGGAATAGGTTAATTCGCTCCGAAGGTGCACCAGCCAGATGTTTGAAGCGCCGGAGGCGAGGCAAACAGACTATGATAGACATTTCATAAGTTAACAACTTTTGTAGATCTTTGACAGGATCCGAGATAATTTGGCTCAAAGTTGAAACTACGGGGTGCCCTTCTATTGCAGGTTTTACGGTATCTCAAGATTCTAGATATCACATTTGCTTCTACCAAATTGACAGTATCCAATGCTCCAGAAACGGGAATCTTGTTTTTTTTTAAATCTAGATATCCATTTACTGCAGGAAAGGATCTTCGTGCTATTTACGATACCCCTTTTAAGATTTCAGAGTTCGATCAGTGATTAATTTTTGGCTCTCATAGCAAAAATACCGGATGAAGTGTGCGAGGTTGAGTTGATTGAATCAGCAATAAATTAGATTTATCTGCTTTCTCCTCCGCCAATCTTTTTTTTCTTCTGGCACCCTCCATCTACACGACCTCGACGATCATCCGACCGAAAACATATTTCGATGGCATCCCGACGACCCCGTCTGTGCCCTTCCACGTGCCCATCTCTTCTCTCTTTTTTTTCTCCGAAAGCCCCTCCTGATGATCACTGTCCGAGACATTCGGAGACGCAGAGATACGTTCGGCGCGTCGCCCTTCATTTTTCCGATGTTGGGGTCCCCAAGAGAGAGCAAGAGGGTGTAGAGAGTAAGAGAAACAAGAGATAGATAGAAGCACTGAACTCACAGACAACACATGGAACGAAATGGAAATAAAAAAGGGAGAGAGATAGGGAGAAAAGAGAGGCGCCCGCTCCTCACAACCCCTGCGACCATCGGGGCGCTGCTGCTGGCCTTTAACATTTATGTGAGTGTATGTGTGTGTTGTGTGTGTTTCTCGTCAGCTCCTTCTTCTTCTTCTTCTTTTTTTCCATCTCAACCATCCGTTTGTGTTGCCTGTGTGTTGCCTGCTGCAAAACCGATCAGTCCACCACTACCACCGTCTTCGTCTTCTTCATCGTCACCGTCGCCGCGAAAAAGTTTTTTTTTCTCCCCAGCCATCACTTCGGAGCGTCCCCCAGTCAGCCTGTTTTATGTGTCTATTTGTCTCGTCATCTCTCTCGTCTCAGCGCCAAGCTCCCACTCCTCCCTTTTTCCGCCGAACGTATTTCGAGGCGTCTCGTTTCGTCGTCCCTGTCTAAATCTAGTCGTCGCGACTGAACATCTGACCTTCTGTCAAATTTTATACACTTGTGTGTCTGTGTGACGTTTGTTGCAACATTTTGTTGTGAACTTCCAACCCTTATCTTCTCATTCTCATTCTTCTTCTTCTTATTCGTCTTCCTTTTTTACTGTGTTCTGGTCTTCATGAGAGATTTCAAAGAACTGATATCAAAAAAGGAATTATTGAAAATTCTTGGAGTCAGGTTGTCTGCTATATATGCTTCAATACCGTACCCTTTCTCTCTTCTTCTTCCCCCAAACCCCACTCAATCATAATAGTGGATTTTTGTTTTGTTTCTTTTCAAGCTTCAATCTTTTTCTTTTTCCAATCATCCCCTATTCCTTCTGCCTGGCTCCCCCATCCATACCGTATCTTTTGAGAAAACAAACGAGCGTACGTTTGTCCCGAAAAAAGAGAGAGAGAGGAAATAGAAAGAAAGAGGTCTCGAAACGACGCAAACTGCAAACCTTCTCCTCCTTCTCGTCTGTTTCTCCTCCGTGTCAAAATCTTCCTCAAATCTCTCTTTTCTCTCTCCTACTCAGCTGTTTGTGAGTATGTGACCCCGAAAAGAGAGGGGCCAGCGCCTCTCCATCCCATCAGCCAGCCCAGTTGGAGTCCATCAGGTGTTTTCCTCCATCTATCTAATTCTCAAGATCTTCTTTTTCTACTTCTTATTCTTCTACTCATATCAGCTTTTCCCTGAATCTTCGGATATCTCAAGGCGCAACAATCATTTTTTTCGCTTCACCTAAATGATAAGAGATCGCAACCATCCGAATAGTTCGACTTTCTCATTCTTATCTCGTCGTCTACCGCTTTTCTAAGTGAGACGCCCCTAACCTTCTTTTAGTAGACATCTAGATCTTTTCTGGCCTTATCCCTTTCTATACTTTTCTCACGTTGGGCGGTCGATTTGAACCAAAACCATGATCCAAAAAATTAAAGTTTGTCCAGCTGGCAAAAATCTACCAGACATCATGGAATCGATCTGTTGGAACAGGGTATCAAACTACCCAGCTTTCGAATCAGTGCTAATTTATCTCGGTTCCTAATGACAAAGCTATAAACAAGTTTTCAACTATTAAATTGTTTGTCATAATTCCAGAAGTGTTTTGTCAGTTGACAAATTTTTGATATCTTGCGCAAGAATCGAAATAATTGAACTTGAGAGTGTAGGGGACCCTTATATTACTTTACGGCAATTTCAGTATCATCTCATAATTCTTCTACCCAAATTCCGAAAACTGGAACTTTTTGATTTCTGATTTCTGATCCATCTGACACGGAAAACCCTCCCAAATGTTTACTCTTTTTTTACTTTCTCGAAAACCCCTGAAGAGAAACATATGTTCAGCTCTTCGATTGATGAATCACAAGACAAACGAAAACGTTTTTTTTCTTCTGAATTCTGAGTTCTTAAAAACAACTGTACCCCTTTTTCGTTCGTAATCCAATTCAAATCTAATCTTTGAAAATCTACACAGCTTCTTTTTTTTGTCTTCCGATTCGAACACATCTTCCAAGTCTACCATCTGTCTATTCTTCTCCTTTTCTTTCTTTATATTGACTCGAACAATCAGTTGTTTCTTTTTTTGTCTAGCCGAGAGACGCATCGTTAACCAACCCATCATGTTTTTGTGGGTTTTTCGAGAGACCAAGAGTTCAGAAGAGTGCTTAAGTTTATTTTTTGTTTTCTTAATTAACTTTGTTATTTGGAGTAGAGCTGCTGAAAAAATCTTGCAAAATAGAGGAACTATAGTTTTCAGGAAAAAACAGCGAGGAAGTAGATTAAGGTTTCTCTAAAGTTAATTTTGAATTTATTTTTGGTTTCATATCAGGTACGGTAGCTTACTGTATCTGTTTCATCACTAATCTTTGATTTTTGAAAATCTATAAACGGTTTGTGCTCTCATAGAAGCCTACCGTATACGTTCACTTTGAGCTCAATTATCTCGGTTCCTACAGAAAATATCAAAAATCTGACAACAGATAAAACATTGGCAGTATTGTGATAATCAATTTATCAGTTGAAGTTTTTGGTATCTTTCATAGCAACCGAGATTATTGAGCTCAAAGGGCACGCATAGGATGCATGCATAGGAGGACAAGTAGTGAAAATACAGGTACTGTAGTTTTTTGATGAGATCAATGGTAATTTGTTCTGTTCATATTTCTATAGTTACGGTAGATGAAAAAATCAACTTTTCCTATTTATCAGAAACCGCTGGTACAATAAAACCTTGCAATCAGTTCCTTTTTTGCTCTGCTGATGCTTGTAAAAAATTCCAGGTGATTAAATTTCTTTTTTGATAAAACATCGAATGATGATCTCCTGGAATATCCTGATTTCTTGAACTCTCTCAAATCAAAATTCTAATTCAAAATCATCAAAACACCTGCAACTTTTCTCTCCTTTTCAGTCTCAGTTCTCATCTGCTCCCTATGATCTTTGCTGCTCCAATTCAGAATATTTTCGAACTAACCTCGCTATTTTCTCTTCTTCGCTCCTCCCACTTCAACAATTTTATAATTCTCAATTTAAATATTGATGAATACGGAGGGGGGCTATTCGCACCCTACCTACCGTATGAATAGAACTGCACTCTCTTTTTTTTTCTCGTCTCCAAAAACCGATTCAATGATAAGCCGTTTTGTTGCGAATTGTGTCTCCCTCTCTCGACTCGTAGAGAGTGTGTAAAACATGCCATATGACACAGTGACAACCCCCGATCTTTCCCCTCTCTGGAATTTCTGTCTCTTTTTCTTCTTTTTCCTCTTTTTCTTATTGCTCAGAAGAAGCAGCTGATCCCAATATTTTTTGTTTCAGGTAATCCAGACGGCTCCCATCGTCCCCTTCGTAGTCTAGTTACTAACAGTAAGTTTTTTGATGCTTTCTTTCTTTTTAAAATCCTTCTTCGAAAACTTTTTCGTGGTTGTTATCTTTGCTCTCTCTCCGAGTTCTTATTATCAGTCGGGTGAAAGTTTCTCAGCTGAGAAAAGAAAAAGAGAGAGCAACCTCACTGAAGAGGAGAGAATTTCGAACCAGAAAAATGTGATAAGCGCGAGTGGGAGAAAAAGTTGTGAATTTTGTGAATTTCACTGAAAATATAAAGTTCTGAAATTTTTTCAGGTAGATCAATAGTAGAAAGATGGTTCGTTCGGATAGTGCAGAAGAGGATCAAATCATCAATGATGATGGGTAAGACTTCTGAAATTCAATCAAAATCTAAACAACATACAGTACAGGTCCAGAAGATGTACAACCCCGTATTTTTCAGTTGATTTTCGGCCATTTTCAGGAGTCTGGAGTTCGGCTGTAAAGTTTTGAAACTTTTGGAAAGTGAAAAACAGACCTACGATTGGCGATTTTGTATATTGAAAACTTTGCATTGACAGAGTTTTTTGAAAATTCCCAGTTTTTCAGCATTTGTCAATTTTTGAAAGACACCTGTTTCTTAAAGTTTTCAGTAAAAACTGACCAAAAAGAAGGCCTCTCAGAAATCGGCAAATATCTGAAAACTAGAGATTTTCACAAATTCTGTGAATGCAAACTTTTCAATCTAGGTCTGTTTTACACCCTCCAAAATGTTCAAAGTGATCGAAAACTTGATAGCCGAGCTCCAGACTCATAAAAATGGTCAAAATCAACTGAAAAACACGTAATAGTACATCTCATTCACCGGTACCGTACTTGCACGTTGAGCTCAATTATCTTGGTTCCTATGAGAGATCTCATGAATCTGTCAACTGATGAAATATTGGCGATTTTATGATAACTAATTTATCAGTTGATAAGTTTTTGATATCTTTCATAGGAGCCGAAATAATTGAGCTCAAGCTGTATGTGGGGTTGGCCTATTTAAGCAAATAAGGAAATCAATATACTGTAAACCATTATTGGCCGGTACTGTACATGGTCCAAAACATTTTCAAAAGCTGACCAACCTAAAAAACTACAACAGTTCATTTGAAACTCAAACACCTCATCCATATAACTTTCTCACCAACCACTTCTTTTGTATGCAAATGAGTTCCCATACATCCAACGGTACCACCTGGCAGTTGTAAAAATAGTAAAGAAATACGGAGATACGCAGAGACGACGAAACGAAAACATATCCCTTTGAGGACTCTTCTCGAAGATTCCCATGACAAAAAAGTTCCAAAAATGACACATTGGCACCGCCCATATGGTCAGATCTTTGAGAATCGAGAGCAAAAGGAAATTGCAGTTGGAAAATGAAGGCAGTTAGTGCGCACTCTCTCATTCGTCCTTCATTTCCTTCTTCTCCTTTTCCGAAGTTCTTTGTATTCAAAAGATCATTGAGCTGTCGTTTTGCATTCTATTATTTTGAATATTCAGATTTGATCTAACTGAAGAGGACGAGGAGATGATGAGTTCGGGTACAGGTGCATTACCCGTGACTATAACCGACTGGAGCTCAATGACTAACGCACGAATCGCGCCACCATCCATCATGTCGGCTTCTTCGGCATTCGATTTGACGGCTTCTGGAATGCAGAATTCGTTGCGTTCTGTCTTGCCTACCTCGACAATTGGGCATGCACCAATGCTCGCCAACCGGTCTCTATCTCAGCCGGCGCCACTCTCACCAACATCGCTCGATCCCGATAGAAGGTTAGTTCCTTTAGGAGGTTAGTGGGGATAGTAATCTCAATATAGATCCAGGATGCGAAGGCAAATTGCCAATTGCAATGAGCGACGGCGGATGCAGAGCATCAATGCGGGATTTATGGCTCTTCGAGCTCTACTCCCGAGGAAAGAAGGGGAGAAGTTGTCGAAGGCAGCGATTCTGCAACAAACTGCTGATATGGTTCATCATCTGATGGGACAGAAAGGGGATGATATCCCAGATGGGGGAGAACCGAAGAAACTCAAACTTGAAGGTATTACTAAATTTCCGGGAAAAAAACTTCCAAGATTCCATACGTTCCAGAAAACCACCAAGACGCTGACCAACTGGCTCAAATTGCCCGTCTTACAACTATTCTAGAAACAGAACGTGCCGCCCGAAAATCCTTAGAGAAACAAGTAATTCAGCTCCGTGAGCTGCTAGCAATGACCACGACGTCATCTCAAGCATCGTCTCCAGTGACTCCCATTTCCACGGGATCTGGATTCACTCTACCATCGTCGTATGCTTCATCGGCTCTTCCAACTCCATTGAGAGAGTCTCCAGAACGGAAACCATCATTCCACGACTCAACAAGTACTCCGTTATCACTACTGACTCTGAATGGATCACCAACGTCATCTGAATCATTAGTGGCTCCTCGAATACTTCATCCTTTGCCGAGTCTGGAAAATACCGTAATCCGTCCGACACCTCTTCCACCAATATCTGGTAACCCAAAAGAAAAAAAAACAATTATTATAATTTTATTTTCCTATTGTTTCAGTAGAAGTGTCATCACCATCACTGTCAACACCATCGCCGTTGACGGCCGCCGCTCCGATAATCTTCTCATCAACGGCGCCTCCTCAACCCAGTATTTTGTTCCAAACGGTCACTTCGGCCATGTCAACTGGTAATTCAACACCCGTCGGATTACCACATCATCTGCAGGGACATAATTCAGCGTTTGTGTAAGTTGTGAAAATGAATCGGGGATTGAAATGATCAAGTAGCAGTAGAGACAGTATTATTCTGGTACAACAAAATCGGATCTGTGGAAGAGAAACGCCGGTGGTCGTGGCCGAAGATCCCACAACGACAACTACAGTAACCAAAAAATGTTTTTATTTTCTGAGTTTATTTCCCAATTTCCGTACGTTTCCAGTAGATTTTAACGCTATCAAAAACCTTGCTTTTTCGGCTTTTTGGGGAAAAATGAAAGAGAAATCGACGGAAATTTGGGAAAAAAGTCAAAAGACCAAGATTTTTCGCCGTAAAATTCACTGAAAACACATGAAAACGAGAAAAAACCGGAAAATAACAAAATTTTTAGGCTACGGTAGTTGTCTTTGTGGGACTTTCGGGAAAGTAGTTACTTTAAAAAATTTTCCGGAAAAAAACGTGATTCCCAGTCGCATCTGTGATTTCCAGAAATCTCTTCCGTACAAATCTCCTCGGAACGATCTGAATATTTGCAGAAGCACACAACCGAGTATGTCATTGCATCAATCAATGCAAACAATTGTTGAAGCGATTCGTCATCTGGAGGGAAGTCACTTCATTCCAACATCTCCTCCGCCAACTTCACAGACATCACTCGTTCGTTGATCCGTTCTTCATCGTCTTCTTTAGATTTCTATATATTACTCAATATTTCTTTTTTTCTCATTCTGTGTCTTCAGGTTGATCCTGCTCTTTTTCCTTCCTTCTTTTCTGTTCTCTTCACCACGTGGCACACAGTATCTATCATATTTTCCCATTTATGATGAATGTCTATTAAGAAGAGTCTTTTTCTTGTTTTTCTTTTTTTTTTTTGTTTCTAGGTATCCAACTTGTTTTGTTTCTTCAAATTTTTTGTGCCGATTAAGGTCTTCTTGTCATTTTTCTTCAATTCTAATCAATCTTTTTTGTCTAGCTTCCAGATTTTTCCGCTCTCCTCACGGTCCTATTTCTCTTATCCACCGATATAACTTTTTGTTCTCACAATGCTATCCTTTTCTCCTGTCCTGTTCATCTCCCGACACTGCCCCGTTATTTCTACAAAACTCGTGTCGATTTCTCCTTTTCCCATTTTTTTCCAATTTTTCACCCGGTGGTTTTGTTGACCGTATATGTGCAGCTTGATACACTTTCAATTTCAGACCTCAAACTGTCGCTATTGCTTATTCGCAATATCTAACTAACCTATTTTAAATAAATCTCAGAAAGTACAGCAACTTAAAACCACGCATTCATATAGGAATATATTACAATGAAACCAGAAAAAGAATGATGAAATTGAAGTAAGAATCCCGACACCGATAACAAAAATAGAGATCCTGCCAAAAGAGAATAAGAATCCCGCCAAGAATAAGTGAACTATAGTCCTCTCGTAAGGTAATCCTTTTGAACCACTGCTTTGTACTCGTCAAGTAAATCCTGCACAATATGCATTGCATCGTCCATCATGTCCAGAGAGAAGTTATCCTAGAAAAACAAGATTTACATCTAATAAAACAATCTCTCACTTACAATTTTTTCGAATTTATCTAAGAAAGCCTTCTTCGACCTGAGTTTATCGTATTTCGAAAGAAGAGATTCAAACAACGGAGCGACACTTGTACTGTTATTTAGCAGTAATCCAGACACCTTATATTGTGGTTTGACGTATGGTGATAGTGGAGCGTGCATCATTCGAAGTGGTTTCAACATGTAGAATGGAGGTCGTCGAATGGCGAACTGAATAAGGAAGATTATTCGTGAAACTTACATCTTCTGATACTTACATCTACATTCTGCTCTGCAGACATGATCGTATGTGCCTCGATTTGTCCTTGAAGAAACATGTAAGCAGACAGCATGCAGTCGTTTGGCCTGGCTCTAGAAGCTGTTGAAACCATCATTGAAGTTGGCTTCAGAAGAAAACGAGTCACATCAGCAACTGATGTTTTGCGTGTGAAATTCTCATTCGGGTCGACGACAGGAGAGATGGCGGACTGAATGAAGTGCATCGGAGGGAATGGAGCAAGATCCAGATATCGGATAGACGGACAAACTGATGAATTGAAGCGATACATCGCTGTAGATGTGCTCATGATTCTGGCGACAAGGGAGTTGATATGATCGAAAGTCGGTGTATCAGTTTTGAATTTTCCAGCAGCGAGACGATGAAGCGCAGCATTATCCAAAACAACGACGTGATCTGCAAACGAAATTTCATAGGAATGTGACATCTTCGGTACATCACTGACCTGGATTTTCAATTAGTCTCTGCATAGAGAGCACCCAATTGTAGGGATGAACAACTACGTCAGTGGTCTGAGTTGGATCACTGTTTGCAAAAACACTGTACGTTTGGATCACTTTCTTTGGAAAAGCTTCACGGAGACGTTCGAGCAACAAAGATCCTGTTCCGGAACCTGTTCCTCCTGAGACACTGTGCGTGAAAAGGATACCATCCAGATTGTCGGTGTTCTCGGCTTCTCGAATAATTATATCCATAACTTTCTCTTGGACCTCTCTGAAACATAACTTATTTCATCAAAATATCAGTTTCCGAAGCTACACTCACTGTCCTTGGAAGTATCCGCTGGCCCAGTTGTTTCCAGCACCACCACCATGATCAGACATAAAAATGTTATCGGTATTGAAGAGATTCGAGAATGTCGGTGACTGCATCATTCCATTGATAACTCGAGGTTCTAAATCAACGAGAACCGCTCGAGGAACGTAATGATCATCGTCAGCCTGGTAAAATAACAAATCCTTTTTGTCATTCATATCATCTTCGTGCGTTGTCTGACCGCGCCTGAAAAAAAACTACTTCAGCTGAAAATCGTAGCAACTCTTACTCATTGATTCCATGTTCATCAACCATTGACTTCCAGAAAGCCTGTGCTAACTGGTTACCACATTGACCGACATGGACGGTCATTAAAGCACCCGAACCAGACATCTGTAAAATAAGAACAACAAACTAAAAAGAACTAAAACCCAAAGCGAACATAAAAATAACTGCACAATTGTCGAGAACATGGAGAACAAGAACGGAAAAGTGGAATGTGACAAAGAACTTTTTATTAGATTTTGTATAAGAAACAACGAAAACAACGAAAAACAACAAAAATTAACAGTTAACAATGATTTAGGCGATACTCTTCTCGTAGGCGGCTTCGAATTTCCCTCTAATCGTTGAAAAAACTTGCTCGACACTCTCGAATGCTTTAACCAAAACTTCTAGAGCATTGATTCCATCTTTTGTCTGCACTCTGAACAAAATTTTATCCTCGAGCGGATGTGGAACGTTGTAACCACAGAATTCAACTTCATCCCTGAAATGATAATATTCCATGACCCTTCCAGAATATTAGTTTGAAAAAACTCACATTCTGCTGAGAATATGCTTGATCGAGTTTCCAATAGTGTGATCTTCCTCGTACAAAATGAGCGTCAAATTCGATGGATCTTGTTCGAAGCTTTTTGGATCAAGCTGAAAGTATGCTTGTTATTCTATTAAAAATTCATTCAAAACATACAATTTCCATTTTCTTTTTCTTTGGCACGTTCAAGTCTTCATCCTCAACTTCTGGCTCTTCTTCTGGCACTGCTTCTGGCTCTACCGCTGGCTGCTCATCGACTTCCATGGTTTCTTCGACGACTTTTTTCTCGCTTTTCTTGCCCATTTTGGTAATCTCTCTGAATTTGAGTGAAAATTGGCTCAATGTTTGAAAGACACCCTTGTCCGCCCTCTTTTGCAATGTGCGCGCGCTCTTCTTGCAACTGCTGCGCACAGAGATGCAATTACTTTTATTTTTCGCAAGTGGGTTTTCCCTTCTCATAAGTATATTTTAAGACATCAATTCCTCATTTAAAAAACTTGTGTTTCATGTAATTTCGAATTCTGGGGAATCAGAGAACCTGTTCTGCGCAAAACAGCAATAAAATTTGAGAACAATCGTTTATTTTCGCATAGACAATAAGATAAAGGAGGTCACGAGGTGAAAATGGTTCGGGAAACGAAATTTTAAAAACACGTGATATTGCTCTGGACGAGAAACAAGTTGAATAGGTCAAAGCAGAGTTGAGAGAGCACCACACATTCTGAGAGCCGGTTCAGTCATTCGGCACTTGAAGAGAAACAGAGCGAAAGTTCTGAGGCATGATCACGGAATTTATCGAAACATCATAGACTAGTAACGAATCCGAATTAAGAAAGTTAGAAACACGTGGTGTCAGAAAAGGGAAATGGGTTAGTTATAAAGGAGAAAGATCAGAAGTGGATAGATTCATATGAAGGACGAGTTTTTCTTTATTCGGGTGGAGTTCATGCGATGAATTCATTCCTCCTGAGTTCTGCGCACGCATTGAGCAACCTTTTTCTTGAAATCGGCATAGTTTTCCCGTTGCATTTTCTGAAACAAACTCTTGAACATCAATTGAAAACTATTTTAACTAACCGCAGCATCGACGTTCGCTGGAGATTCAAAGTTTGGATCCGTGAGCATGGAGATAACGGAAAGTAGGATTGTCTCAACAGTGTGCACAGGCAGCCAGCGTTCTTCTGGTCGTTCGTATCCCCACCTGAAAGAGAGTTCGATGGGCGAGCACAAAATTAACTGACATACTTATCATCTCCTGGATCATGAAGAATCGAGATGCAAACGTTTCCTTCCTTGTCAACTGAAAAATGAAAATTACCTATGAAAATCTAAAATTGCAAGACATACTGTTTGGATGCCAGATTTCAGAGATGAACTTCATCTTCGGCGGTTTCTGTGGGTAGTCTCTTGGAAAATCGAGAATAGCTTTGAAGAATCCTCCCTCGCTGAAAAAAAAAGATTGTGTTTGAGCAAGCATTCAAGACAACTTACTAAAGAGTGTCTGGTGGTCCGATCACTAATACCTCCCACTTGTAGATGTCGTTATCATCGACAAGACCAGCAGAGAACCCGTCCACCGGAACTCTTCGCATGTCTAGAAACAATGACTTTAAAACTCAGAGATCAGTTTTGACAAAAAAAAACCTGCAAGTTGTTTCTTCAGGAGCAGAGAAGATTGTTCCATCTTCCTGAAAACCAAAAAAGGGTATGAGAGATTGAAGTTATCAGAAACGGATTGTGTTTATGAATTTCGTAAAAACACGCATCAATATATCGATTGTGACGAAATTTGGGACACGAACTAGAGAGTATCTGTTTTAGCTCGTTATATAAGCTAATTTATCCAGGTGATAAGAGTCGTTAGGGGGATAATCGAAAAATATGATAAATACGAAATGGAGAAAACAGCTTTTAAAATGTCGGTGACAAGGGTACCAGTTGCTGAACGGAAAGAGAAGTGAAAACGTGATTGACGAAGACGCAGGCACTTTTGGCGCCGGGTCTCGCCGCGTCATTGCGAAATGCGCGCTTGTTCAAATTTAAAACTATCCAGGTATACCTAAAAGTTAGCCTGTTTGGCTTTGCAAGAGGAATAGACAATGCAGGTTGATGATCTCTTTATATATTTTATTTTATTTATTTTTTATTTCTTCTAAAATAGAAGTTAGATCTGATATTGTTGTCACACCACACAAAAAACTTGATTCGATACAAAAAAACTACCAATTTTTACAGATATAAAAGAAGAGAAAAGTGGCTCTCCAAGCAATCCCCTGAGTAGAAAGAAAAATGTTCATTTTGGGAACATTGAAAAAAAAACACAAAAATAAATATGTGTTGCACATTTTTGTAGAAAATTAAATTGAGAACATACAAAACGAAGGGTTGGGGTTGGATGAAAGATTTTAGGGAATGTGTGCCAATAGAGAGAGAAGGCTGGAAAAATGACAAATCATCTCCTAAATTATTATTAGATCTCGGTGCATGCAGTGAAAGAATCTTTCTTTGAATGATTTGAGTGTGGAAAGAGTGGATGGGTTTGGAAATGGGAAGTGGGGTTGAATCGGCGCGAATCGGGAGACACATTTTTACAAACACGGGTTTTTTAGAAAAATCTAACCGTTCCGACAGTCTTCTAGGTGACAATGAAAACATGGGGAAATATTATAAGAACGAAAAACAATAAAAATTCACCGACATATTAGTTAGAAGAAAAGGGGATGGGGATGGCCACAGATGATAGGGGAAAGGGGGAAAATGTGATTGCAGAGGTAAAATGATGGAGAACAGGAAGGAATCAGAATCCTATTGCAGAATATTGCGGCAATGTGAGAAGTAAGGAGAATGAAAGACATAGAAAAGACCCAAGGGAAAAATGCGAGAATGCATCTACTAAAAACGAACAATTTGAACGATGAGCCAGAAAAAACTCTGTCAAGAAATTCACACTATAACGCGGATAATAAGCAAAAGTACACAAAAATAGGAATGGAATATAATGGAAGAGGGATAGGAATACAATTATCTATCTAGTCTTGAATTGGTTCAGTAAGTGTTGATGCCAGAATTTCAGCATCTGGAATCTCGTACTCTGGAGCAAGGCAGTGTACGAAATCGAGGAAATGACTGTTCGTCAGCAGGGTTTCGTTGTCAGCCCACAATCTGAAAGATTTTTTCTGTTAAGTAAATTCTTGAATGTATTTTGAAATTACCTGGCAAGAGCCTTATCTCTCTCCTGCTTCCGATCATCCTCATTCGAGGAGCACGGAGACTTTGTTTCTGACGCAATGATACTTCCATTAAGATCCACGGCGATGGTTTGATTGGATTGTTGTCCCAACAAGCCGTTCAGTGAACTGTTACCGAGAAGACGTTGACGGAGTTCTTCAAAGTTTGCCTGCAAAATAAATCAATTAGAAATTCATTATAAAATTTATATCCACAAACCATAACATCCTCATTTTTAACTTCCTCTCTTTGACCAGCAATTCCCACAAGAGCAGCAAGTTTGTCAGTTGATGAGAGACCACTGAACATCTCGTCATCTCTGAAACCCCTTTGAAAAATATCATATATAATCGAAATCAAAAAAAAAAAAACTTACACTTCCTTCTTGATTTTGATCTCTCCATTTGAAGAAATAGTTGGAGACTGTGACCTGGCTATCGACTGGTTGATGATCTGCTGGACCAAAGGAGAAGCCTTAGGATTAGAAGAGGCATAGGTGGCTCCTGCTGAGCTAGGAGCTGAAGGAGTTGAAACATTTCCACCTCCTCTGATATAGTCGATGAGGTCAGTTTTAAACTTGTTTGGTCCAAAACATCCTTCTTCAACTCTCATCTCCTCTTCTAGTTGAAGAACCTTTTCGTAGTCTTCTTTATGATGAGCCTTCAGATGCATTTTCAAGTTTGTGGAGAATGCAGATCCAGTTCGGAACTCGCAGTTTGTACATCCAACCATCTATAAAGGAAATTTATTATAGAAGTTTTCAACTTCAAAAAAACTTACTCTATCTTCAAGATCCTTAAAGTACACCCAGACTGGATGACGACGAAGTCGTCTTCGTTTTGGTTGAGGTACTCCATTAGCATCAGTTCCATGTGGAGCATTTAGAATCTCTTGCTTAATATGAGCAGGGAAGTTCAGAGTGTTGATGATATGATCTTGTGCTACCGCTGGAATGATTATACAGTTATTGAAATTCCTGGATTCAGGAACTTACGTGGTGGTGTTGGTTGAATCTGATTTCTAGCAGCGAGTTGATTAAGAGCTGCCAAGTTAGCAGCATTCAGTGCAAATTGAGGTTGCTGTTGGGCTGCTTGTTGAGCTGCCTGTTGAGCTTGTTGTTGCTGTAGAAGTTGTTTCTGTTGTTGCTCCTGCTGTTGCTTCTGGAGTGCAGCTTGAGCAGCTTGAAATTGACCTTGGATACTTTGGAAGTGTTGTTGAAGACCGTTATTGGCAAGTGTCTGTCGAAGAACTGCATTCAGTGGGTTTTCCTCACCATTTTGTTGCTGATTGGCCACTGAAATTGAAAGTGTAAGAGCACAATGAAACCAAAACTGATAAGAAATAATTTAACATGTAGGTCAACAGATCAAACATTAGTTTTGTGGTAACGTTTCAGATGCTCAAAACTGTTTACAAATGTGATCTAACAAAGGCTTACATTTATTAATAGTCATCAGAATACTAGATGTCATCGGAGGCATCCTCTTTCTGTTGGCATCTACGTTGAACAGTTTTGAAGTGTTTCCACTGAGCAAAAGGGCATTTAAGTTCAATGCATCTTCCGCCATAATCACCTGAAATTTGCAAATACATATTCATCTGTCCTGTCTAGATATTACTCACCTTCTCGTAGTCTGGCCTGTGATGTGATCTCAAATGAACTTTAAGATTCGTGCTGAATACACTTTTTGTACTATACAGACATTGTTTGCATCTCGCTGTTCCATCGACTACATCGAAATACGGCCATACTGGGTTTCTCCTTTGCCGTTTTCGTTTTGTAGGTGTGTTCTCCACACTTGGAGCAGTGGCTGTGGTTGTACACGGACTAGCGGGCATTTGAATTCCCGTTGTTAGATTGACTGGCAGCTGAAAGATTTTAAAAATGAGAGAGTTTCCAACTAAAGGAAGAAGAAGAAGTCAATCATAAATTTTTGTCAAGGTGCAACAAATCTAACATCTACTCTCTCAAGAACTTTACGAAGAGTGTCTACAAAACGAACCTGAGGAGCCACATTGTTGAAGTTTGCAAGAGTTTGTTTCAAGAAGTTTTGATTGAATGCTGACATCATATTTATTGTGTTTTGGTTGTTTTCAATGAACGATTCTTGATGAAACCGAAGGAGTTCTGAAAAAAAGAAGATTGAAAAAATAAGAAAATGAGCTATTAAGACAACATTCTCTTGAGGTTATGATGAACAATTTATCAGTGAACAACTTTTTGATATTTTTGACAGGAACAGACAAAAATTTGCTCAAAGTCAAAAGAGAAATTAGGGCTCTTCTATTACAAGTATTATTTGAAAAAAAGCTTCAAACTCACTTTGTAAATCATCATCTACATTGAGACTCTTCTCCTGAAGATCATTAATATTCGCTGAAGACATTGACAAGTTATCAGGAGAAGCATCTCGATCACTGCTATCAAAACTTGTTGCAACATTTTCAGGCGAGAAAGACGCCTGTCCATGATCTGATGAGGGTGAATCAGTACGCTGATCTGTGGGACTGTGATGATCAGAAGTACTGTATGGAGGTGAGCTTTCAGAAGTTGTGGTAAACGAGGAGACGTCTACATGATCATCAGAGTTATCCGAATTATCAGAGTTATCAGAATTGCCCAGAGACGCTGAGAAGTCTGCGGGCGCCATTAGAGCACTCAGTGTTGAGGCGCAGTCGGCAATAGTACCGGTCTGCATATGAATCCTGAAAATGAGATAATAGATAACAGAAGATAACAGAAGATAAAAGCAGAATTTGAAGATGGAGAAGAATCAAGAAAAAGGGGGATGGCCACCGGAACCTAAAAATAAACAAAATATCATGTCGCGTTCTTGGATTTCACGCTTCTCCTCGGATAAGGAAAGAAATCATCGTGAGACGGCTGTCAGAGACGGCGGAGCTGTCAAGAAATGGTAGCCAGTGGCGACTCTCTAGTGAAAAAGAAAGCTACTTCTCTTTGTTCGGTTCAGCAGTTCTCGAACCCGTTTCGTAAAGCACACACATAATACAGGCTCTCTCTCTCTCTCTTATTCTTCAACTGTCTTTAGCCAAACACATAATCGTACTAATCGCGAAGAAGCGAAATAAGGGAGCACAGAAAGAGAGCCAAGAGATCATTAGGCGGGTTGAACGGTAAAGAAAACATTCGGGAAAATGAGGAGGAGGAGGACGGCAATTTGAAACAGCTACTTGATACGGAAATCAAAACATACACATATATAGCAAAAATCTGACAGCAAACTGGATACCGTAAAACCTGTAATTGAAGGGCCCGACACACTTTGTACTCTTTAATCTTGGCTCTTATGCAAGATATCAAAAAGTGGTCAACTAATAAAATGTTTGCAATATTAGGATAAACAATTTAATAACTGACAACTTTTTGATACCTTTTACAGGGACCGAGAAAAAATGAGGCGCGAAGTAAAAGTGAGGATCCATAGAAGCAAAGTTGAATCTCTATCAGCTGTACCTAGAAGATGCTATCATATCATCTCCAGCCCCATTTTGTATTATGCACCCCCCTCAAACATTGTGACGTGGAAACCATCAATCAGGAAAATAAGAAGTATCATGTGCTCTCAGTTAGGACAAGAATAGGTCTAAAACCAGATAACTCCAGGTGGTGCGCAAGAGATAGGTGAAAGAAAAAACAAACTGATAAAAAAGGTGTTTGTCGCGAGGAGACGATGCTAAAATGGGAAATCACGAAATGCATACAGTAACCGTCGGAGGGCATATACCACTAGGGGGGGAAAACGAAGTGGCGCAACTCGAAACTGGAGACGCGTGTGAAGAAATGAGTGGACTGCAAATTGATACTCAGGTAACCAGAAAAGTCATCTCTCGGACGGAGGAGCATGTACAAGTAATGGAAAAGAAGAAGAAGAAGTATCAAATTGACATACAGAAGAAGTGAGCGAAAATGGCAGAAGGTAGTGGGGGGAGGTTGAAACAAAAGTTAAGTTTTAAGAGTCATATACCAACTGATAAAAATAGAAGACACACATGAGAGAAATACAATGAGATAGTAAAATATAGTAACACAACATAACATTGAAATTTTCTCGATGATGATGATAACGGGGTGGGAAAGAAGCTCCAGAGTTTCAGTACTCTTTATGATGCACATATGCTGATATGGGAGACACGAGGTACGCGCAGGGCAGAGCAGAAACAATACACTTTTAGTAGAGTATAATAAGAGAAAGTAGTACTGATAAAAAACCTGGAAGTTTTAGACTGGAAGAAGAGCAGACGAAACGAGGAGTGTGCACTTTTCAATACAGAAAGAAGTGGGTTCAGTAATGAAATTGAAAGGTTTTCTGATTGTTTGAGGAAGCAGTAATGCCTAGAAACATTGATATCAGCTTGAAAAGAGTTGAAGTTTCCAAACCACGAAATTAAAATTTCATGGTGTGCTGAAACTTTGGAAATATTTGATCTGATAGAGATGGCCAAAAGATCAACAAGATTTTAGTTGCCATGTAAGATGCGAAATTGTAAGATAGCGTTATTTAGAATGTGACTTTCAAAAGGATACTCAAAAGATTTGAAATTTTCATTAGGTAAAAATGAACCAGTTAATGTGCAAGCGGGACTTTATGGGGACCACAGCCAAGATTATAGGTTACCATATCAATTTGAGCTCCATCATCTGGATTCCTGTCAAAGATATAAAAAATTTGTCAACTGGTTGCTTGTTTATCACATAATCACTAATATTGTATCAGTTGATAAATTTCTGATATTTCTCATAGGAGCCGAAATAATTGAACTCGAAGGGGTTGGGTTCTATTGTAGCATTTACGGTAATGTGTTAGGGTAGCAATCGGGTTGGTATGGTAATGCTAAAATAGAGGATCAATTAAGACCTGAAACTAGGAGAAGTAGTCAAAAACCGAGAGTAAATGAATGACCGAATGACCAGTTGCCCTTCCCCGATCCTTCGAACACCCCCATTCGTGCTCTCTCTCTCTCCAAGAACGGG